AGCCGGGGCCCGGATCGGTGTGCCAGCGAGGGCGCTGGACTCCCTTGAGGGGGGGTGGATATAGTCCCACATCAGTTAGGAAGGCGAACGAAGCATGCCATATATATGGGTGTGGATACCTTCCTTGTGAGGAGGCCTTTTGGGGTGGCATGCGTGTCATCGCCAAGAGCAAAACCGTGCGGCCGTGGGCCAAAGCGGACAATATCCTCATGCGGGTTGCTTGGGCTGTTACAACGTCTAAATGGCTTGACTCTACTGAACCACAACGATTGACATGGTGATTAGAAATAACGTCCGCCATGGTGACCAGAAACAATTTATTTTGGTTTCTCAACTTTCAACAAAAAATGCATCATATGCTTTATCACATCTTAACAACACACAACTTACATCTTCAACTTCATATAACATACCACTTTCAACTTAAACAACAAAATTTCAACTAATGAAATATTACCACACATCATCACCATACAACATGACATTTCCTTGATCTCTATATTTCTCGGATCATGAGTTGTGACAACTTAATAGTCCCAAAATTTATAAAATAAAATAAGCATAATAAAATAAAATTTTTGATAATTATAAATACTAATTTAAATGCAAGTATTTTTTTAATATAATTAAATTTAAGATAAAATTTTAAATACAAAAGGGGTTGATTAAATATGATGTTTTCTTAACCTTACAATTTTTTCAGATACAGGTTGTGACAACTTGATAATCTTAAAACCCTTTAGTAATAACATATTCCATAACTTATAACTTTGTTAAATTTCCCATTTAACATTGAATGCAATGATTGCACAAGTAATGTGTAATTATTATATTGAAATTATATATAAATAGCTCGGTTGGGAATTTGGGAAGAATTATTTTTTATAGTTGGGAATTTGTTAAATTTCTCATTTATAAGTTGATAGCATTTCAGTTTAATGCATTTTGTGTTATTTTTTTTGAATGCATACTTGATTATTGTGAATTTGATGTTATTACTTTCATTTTTGTGTATTTGGAGACCAACGTGAAATGTTACTAAAATTTTGTCAAATTTAAGGTGTGAGACTTCACCTTTATGTATTAATACCATAAACAAAATCGAAGCCTCAAGGCTTCATCTCCCCATGCTCAACCTGATATACCTGATCAACTCATGCATGTCACTTAGGCAAAACAAGAAAAACAACCAAAAAAATAACATGAGGAGTGAAAATATATCTTACACATGTATAACTCATAAGCAATATAGAAAACACCTAAATCATAAACATATCTGATGGAAATATAATCTCCAAGGATCCCTTTGGAAGAGATAAGACCAAGAAGGGTGAAGGTTGATCTATAGGAGAGCTCACACTTGAAGACCATTGGGCCTTTAATTAGGTCCATAGTTAGGAGGCTAGAGGAGACTTCTACAGAGGAGGTGCTTCTTAGACCTATGCTCAATATGAGCATTGAGTATGATTCTTCTTTTTAGTCTCATAGTCTCTATTGTACATACCTTATATAGTTTGAGTTCTTGTACCTTGTATATAGTAGATATTTGTATAGGTGTATTTTGCCTTTGTATTTGTAAGGCACCTTTCTATTTTCTTATAAGTCATCCCTTTAAGATTTTAGGGTATATTGTTTGGAGACTTTTGCTCCATTTGACATTGTATTAAGGGTCACTTATTTTCATATTTTTAATAGTAGAAGTAGGGTGACAAATAGTAAAGTGTGTAGGTGAAGCTAGCAATTGGGCCTGTAACGGGCCTAGGCTAATTTTTACATAATGGGCTTATTTTGCTCCATTTAATCCAAGGAATTGATTTAGTTAGGTCTCATTCTCATTAGGTGAACCTAACTAAACCAATACCAACATTTTTGGATTGGATTAAGTGAAGGAAAACAAGATAGGCCACCTAGCTCTTCTAGTTTCTCCCACACACTTGGTTTGCTTGTGTTACAAGCTTCTTGCTTGGCTTGCTCCACAAGCTTTGAAGCTTAGCTTGTTCCATAAGCTTCCAAGTTACTAGACCGATTAGCTTGAGTGTAAGAAGGCTAACCATGGTTCTCCTTGAACCATAGTTAGCCTAGCTTGCACCACAAGCCACCTCCTCACTATATAAGTCTTTTCCTTCACTTTGCAAACACTTTTGATGCATATATGAGAGAATTCTAAATTTTTTTTTGAACTTTCTCTCTTTCAAAAGTTATTAACCTATTTGATATTTATTCATTCCTCTTATCCTCTTTAAACAAGAGTGTGGTGAGGATTGAAGCGGCTAATCTTCCTCTAAGGAGTGGCGCCACTTGAGAGTGTTCTTCACCATCTTTGGTGAAATCCAAAGCCTCCTCCTCCATTGGAGACTTTGAAAAAGCTTAAGGAGAACTAAGGAGCCAAAGATCTAGGGAGGAGCATGGAGGAGCATGGAGAGGAATCACCAAAGACACTCAAAATACAAGGAAGCTTAAAAGCACATAGATCGAATCACCAGACATCGGGTGAGCTTATCATTTCACTCTCAACTAGGAGAAGGTCTATTATGATCTAGTAATGGTATCATAGTCAGTCGTGGTCACCTTTCATACTTGTTAGCGGTTAACACTATCAGAACTAAGGTAAAAGACCATAGAGAACCTCCTACATAAATTCACACCATCTTTGAAGAAATTATGCATGAATGCATGAACTCTTATATCACAAAATTAAACATAACAATTAATTCACATGCTTAGCACCAATATCATCAATTTACCAAATCTCTCTATCTAGACTTTTTCATTAGAACCAAGCCTTTGCCTAGATTTCACCACTACCAAACCTCTATATGAACTTCCTCATCACAACACAAAATATCACCTCAAATGTGCTAAGTGCCTTAAGCATTGTGCTTAAGACTCTTTAATTAAACATCTCTCATCTCATCAGGTCTTATAATTCTTAGTTATCACTATTCATCTCTAATGCCATTAACTTATATCATTTCCACCTCCTCTTTACTCTTATTTATTCATTAAAACATTACCTTTCTTACTATTCTTCAATTGCTCAAGTTTACCATCCAAGTTATAAATTAAGTCATATGGCTTTTGTGACATCTCAACAACTTGTTAAAAGTAATCATTAGTTTGGTAGTTCTAATGATTAGATTTGGTAGTTGGAGTTAACTTAAGCTAACCTAGGTTATTTCTAAACTATAGCTTAGCTTACTCCATAAGCTTCTAGATACTTAACTAGGGTTGGTTAGCTTAAGTACAAGATAGCTAACCATGGTTACACATAACCGTGATTAGTCTAACTTGTACTATAAGCCAACCAAACTCTATATACTATTTTTTTTCTTGTATTGGCCAAATAGCTTTGGAGTATTATTGGAATTGGATGAAATTTCATCTCTAATTCTCTCTCTCAAAACTTATTTCTCTCTAAAATTCTTCCTTTTCTCTTATCCCCTCTTGAGTGTGGTGACAAATTGAAGAGACTTATCACTTTTCATATGGCGTCACCTAAGGGAGTTTCTATCTTCTCTTGTGTGTTAGAAATGGATTCTAACATCAATGGAAGTCAATGAAGGAGTTTGAAGGAGTCCAAGAAGTGAAAGATTCATCCAGGAAGTTTGAAAGAGAAGCTATACATCATCTTTTGCATCTCCCTAAAGTTTTCATCATCTCCTCTCCTATTCACGAGAAGGCTTCAACAAACATAAATCAAGAGCTCATGACTCCAACCGAAAAGATGATGATAATGATGATAACAAAAATATTGATTGGGGTGGTGTAAGAAGAAGATAAAGTGTTTGTGACAATAATGATGAATGAAGATTTTAATTAATTCATTTTTATTTTAATTTTTCTTAAATACTTTTTTAGTCCTTATAATTAATTTGACATTTTGTGTTTTTAGTTCATATAAAATTATTTTGATCATTTTAGTGTCTATAATTTGGTATTTTGTTTTTTTAGTTCTCTTAAACTTATTTGTCATTTTAGTTCTTGAACATATGTCTACATGGATGACACGTTATCTAATGATATGATATTTTATTTATCAAATCATCATTTAACATAACTTTTAACTAAGAAGACTTAAAACACACCAGAAAATTATGTAGGGGCAAAAATGATCAAAATAATTTTGTGGAGACTAAAAGAACAAAATACTCAAAATATAAGGACTAAAAAATATTTAAGTAAAAATAATTAATAGAAAAAAAAATTATACTCATTTAATTTGTAATTGACATTATTGATAAAAATTAATCATTAAAACTATTGACATAAATGAAGGATTAACAAGTATAAAATCTCAAATAATATTGGCAAAATAAATGATAATATTTCTTATATATATATATTTTATAATGGATACTTTGATGAGTTTGATCAGGATGGACAAATATGTCTTTAGATTGGAGTCTAATAACACAATTTAAGGAAAAACGGCCAAAGATTGTTGGATATCACACAAAATTTTGAATTTTTAATAAATTTTAATTAATCATAAGTGAAGTAATTAAATAAAGGAGTGATACCACACAATTTTTGGAATTCTAATAAACTTTAATCAATAATTAATAGATAAAATGTTAGAAAGAATATTAAAAGTGTTACTAACATCTCTATCAAAAACAAATCTCAATAAAAAAAATGTTACTAACATCTCTCTAAATGGTAAATCAATTAAAAATAATTTATTAACATAATTATTTGTATTTTAAACTGTATTTATTTTTCATCGTAATTATAGCAACGTAATGATGCATGGGGTATTATATTTCGTAAAATTATTATAGTATGAAACTTTTTAATTATTATAGTGGTATATGATATTAACATATTATAGAACTTGTGATTATATCACTCCATAAGAAGACTTTTAAAATACATACTGTTCCTGTATTAGGAGACACACTTCACTTTTCTGCGTAGTTGCGGGTCGGATCTCGCGTCTCGGTCTTCTCGTTCCAGTCTGGGTTATCCGAAATGAGGGGGGTGGTGTGCCTACAAAGACACTCCGAAGCTCAAGTTAGTGTTTGGCGTAATAAATGCGGTAGTTCAGAATTAATTACATACCTCGTTGGGGTCCTATTTATAGGTCTTCTTATTGGGCCGTAATTAGGGATTGGGCCCCAGAAAATTAGGGGGGGTTAATATGATTAATGTTAATTAAACTCCCCGTAATCGTCTTGTCGCAGGTATGGGGTTTAAGCCGAGCGCACCGAGCGCATCATTCGGTCTTCGAGTATTCGGAAAGCTCGGGTATTGGGCCTTAGTGTTCGGTTCGTATCGCGAGTGGTCGACGAGTTCGGTTTTCGGGTTTGGGTATTCGGCCTGGTCGGCCACCATACGGTATACAACCCCCGCAGCGTCGAGGATGTGGAAGACGAAGACGTTCTTTAGTGTCTGGTATGGTGTTATCGACGACTGTGGCCGACCATGCGATCCCTATTGAGGGGAAAACGAACACCCCTGCCGATGTCGAGGGTTTAAGTGCGAAAACTATACCGAGCCCTTCGACGTGTGAAGTCGTGTCACGGTCACGGTTGGACAAGACCTAGGCCGAGACCTAGGTTGAATGAGGTTGGTGTGGAGGTCTCAGGGTAGAAATTTAAGTCGAGGTCGTGCCGTGGTCTCGGTTGAACGAGACCTAGGCCGAGACCTCGGTTGAACCCAGTTGGTGTTGAGGTCTCAAGGTAGAAATATAAGTCGAGGTCGTGCCGTGGTATCGGTTGGACAAGACCTAGGCCGAGACCTCGGTTGAACCCAGTTGGTGTCGAGGTCTCAAGGTAGAAATTTAAGTCGAGGTCGTGCCGTGGTCTCGGTTGGACGAGACCTAGGCCGAGACCTCGTTTGAACCTAGTTGGTGTCGAGGTCTCGAGGTAGAAATTTAAGTCGAGGTCGTGAAATGGTCTCGGTTGGACGAGACCTAGGCCGAGACCTCGGTTGAACCTAGTTGGTGTCGAGGTCTCAAGGTAGAAATATAAGTCGAGGTCGTGCCATGGTCTCGGTTGGACGAGACCTAGGCCGAGACCTCGGTTGAACCCAGTTGGTGTGGAGGTCTCAAGGTAGAAATTTATGTCGAGGTCGTGCCGTGGTCTCGGTTGGACGAGACCTAGGCAGAGACCTCGGTTGACCACAGGTGGCGCCGAGGTCCCAAGGTAGAAGTTTACCCCGAGACCTTCGACATGTGAGGTCGCACCGTGGTCTCGGTTGGGCGAGACCTAGGCCGAGACCTCGGTTGAACACGGTTGGGATTTGCCACGTTGGCCCTAGCGGTTACGAGCGTAACGGTTACTAAATCTGGACCGTTGGAAGATATAGATCGAACGGTCGCGACCCGGGCACGTCTCTTCACCTCCCCCATTTACCTTGCCTATAAATAGGGGGGGTGGGTGCGAGAGAATTTACTCGTTGTAAATTTTTCGAGCGCTGCCAAAATTGATTAGTACCGAACACACCGAGCAAGGTAATTTTTGTATTATTTATTTTTAGTAATAAATGGACAAGGAGTATTCGTCGGCTGGGAGTTGGACATCGTCGGATGTGTCGGGCGCCGAGTCGGATGGGGAGGGGTTGGGTTCCAGTGAGATCTCTAGGTTGCCTCCACTGTAATGCGAAGTGGTTTTTCCATCCGATCACCCCGAACATGATGATAGCGGGGATGAGGTGGTCGAAGTAATGGCACCAACGTCTTTGGTTGTGGCCTTGGCGCGGGCCACCGAGGTTGATGAGAGAGGTTTAGGTCGAGTCGGCCAGTCGGACCCAGATACTGAGGTGGTTCGTGCCGTAGCCGGAGAGGACGAGTTGGAGGTTGTCGGTGACGCGCGAGGCAAAGGCGTCGCCATCTCGAGGACTTAGCCTAAGGCAAGGATCGACTATGGCACAGTGGAGATCCCGGGGTATGAATGGGTTGACGGGGAAGTCGGCATATACTTTTCTAAGCTGTCCGACCAAGGATTATTGGACACATTCGTATCTTTGGAGAATTGCTTTGGGAGTGGGGAGGATGAATTTCCGTTACTTGCCAAGTCGTGTGTGGATGATGGGTCGGACACTGACTTCATCTTTTTGGAACCGGGGCCTGAAGAGGACGACTACTTTTACGCTTATATGTGTTGGTTCCAAGATCTCGACATTCAGTTGCCTTTTGATGATTTTCAAATGGGGGTTCTCCGAGTACCCAATGTGGCACCAACGCAGTTGCATCCGAATGCTTGGGCCGCGGCGCAGGCGTTTCGAAACCTATGCCTAAGCTTGGGTCTCACTCCCCAACCCCTTGCCTTCCTTTACTATTATACTTGTCGCCCGAGCAAACCGGTGAAGTGGGTGTCATTGGCTCGGGTGCCAAAGCGTGGTTTCCTCCGAGCGTTCACCTCCTCGTATAAGAGGTTTAAGAGTGGTTTCTTCAAGGTTCGTTGGGGGTCGGTGTCGCCACCCGCCGAAACGGACATTGGCATTCGCGACGATGGTCGGAGTCTTTTTAAGTTTTGAAAGATGATGGATTGTTAGAACGACTTATTCTCAAACTGAGACCTCATCGAACTAACAATTTTATTAAATGATTCACCAATCCATGTTAATCCCAAGCGGGACCCTCCATGGATTAGTGGTTTTCGCAAAAAGAAGGGGTTCTTGGAGTCGCCACCAATGTTTTACTCAAAACATTGGAAAAAGATATAAGGCAATTGATTTTTACAAATCAACTTTGGCCATTACAACCAGAGTCGGGTAAGGGAGTCGGTTACGTGCGAGGAAGGTGTTAGCACCCCACAACGCCCCTTTCGGGTTCCCTATGACGGATTATTTCATAAATAATAGTGTAAAGTTACTAAATTACCCCTATTTATTAGAAACGATTATAAGTAAAATATTTACATGATGAAAACTCTAAACATGCAATGCAACAATCAAAAAGCAATAAATAAAAGCGGTAAAAGAAGGGATTTGGAAAGAAACCTTCGAAGCGGGCTTTTATATATTCAAAACGAAGTTTAGGAGGCTTTTTGGCGCTCCTTCCCACTACACGTCCGCTCGCTCCTTTCCCTAAAGATAATTTTTACTATGGAAATCAAAGAGATTTCCCTTCGACTTGTTCGAGTCTCAAGCTAATGGCTCATGACTCAAGAACTTCGTCGGATTGGCTCTCGGAGAGACTTCTAGGGCAGAGAATAGCTCAAAAACCCAAGAATACTCAGCACGAGGGTCCAGAAGTCTGGAAAAAGTGTGGAATGACGTGCAAATGACGTCCTATTTATAGGATTGAGGCGCAATACGGCCTGGGAGGTCAATACGGCCCGTACTGGGTTTTTGAACTACAGTACGGCCGTATTGAATTTGGTACGGCCGTACTGAAGTTCAAAAACTTCAGTACGGCCGTATTGAGTTCACTACGGCCGTATTGCAGTTCAAATGGCTCAGTATGGCCGTACTGAACCTCTGGGAGGGTGTATTGAGCTCCAATCCTCGCACACCCTTATTCTAAGCTACTCTAAGACTTCTAGACCTATAAAGAATCATCCTAGGGTCTTCCAGGAGTCCTTCCGGCTGACTTTCCTTCGGTCTTTGAGAGTCTTTGAGCTTTATTTCCGACCCGGACAATTTTAGGGGTCTACAGTCGGACCTAAAGGATTGTTTTTATGACCGAGAAGGCACCCCTTTATTCCCTTTTTATTGAACGAGGCGTCCGACGCGTTACGAGGCGATGCCAGTTACCGAAAGGCTTGCCTATCCGAGGCCTTTTAGACATTTTTGAAACATCTCATTTTGAGATGGCTTTGCTAGGTATGTGTTTTTGGTTTCGGTAGTTTAGCAGTGTGTTGAATTGATGTTAAAATTTTCTTTGTTGCAGGATTAATGGCCCGGGGGAAGTTAGGTGTTATAGCCATGCTCACTAAGAGGGCAAAAGACGCGAAGGCCAGTGGACAAGTGCCTCCGGTGAGGTCGGCCCTCAAGGTGTCAAGGGATCGGCTTGCCCACGTGGTAATTCCGATAGGAGACCCAAAGAAGAAGGGTAGCACCTCTACAAAGCGGTCGAAGCAATTGTCTCTGGAGCAATCTGGCTGCGGTGCCTTCACCATTCCCGCTGTTGTGGCAGGGTCGAACTTCCTTGTTCCGGACGTGCAGATCGAGAACTTGGTTAGTCTAGACCTCACGACTGGGGGAGGCTTGTAGTACTTGGAAAGCATGACAACGGAGGCCGAGTATAAGCTCTTCTATGAGCTGGATGCTCGGACTTCCCTGGTGGCAAAGCACGTCATGATGAGGCACGCTGTGTCCGAGTCGAGGCTCCACGGCCAACTCAAGGAGGCCACAGTGAAAGAGGCATTGGCAGCAAATGCCCAGGTGACGGCATCTGCCGACGATCTAAAGAAAGTTGCCGATGCCCACCGAAGGGAGGCCGACGACCTGAAGTTGGCCGTTCAGAAGTTGAAGGCCGAGGCTGCCGGCTATGAGGGTGAAATTGCTCGACTGAAGGAGGAAGCTGCTAGATTCAAGGCCGAGGCCACTGAGAAGATTTTGGAGCAGCATGATGCAGGGTTTCAGCATGCCATCCGACAAGCATACTACTACTGCGAGGTCCCAGCTGATTTTCAATTCGATGTCAGTCGGGACTTTTATGGTGGTAGGTTTATAAGTTATGTTGAATTCCCGCAAGGGGCCGAGCCGGATGCCGAGGCCCCTAGTCGGGGTATCTCTACCCAACCTTCAGCACCGCCGACCGAAGGGGAGGACGATCCGGTCATCGATGTGGTCGGCCAAGGGGATCCAGAGGGATCGGCCGCGGAATAGTGGGTCATGTTAACTTTTTGCTTTCTTTGTGGCCGGGCTGTTAGTGATTTTTTGCAAGCATTTTTATGTAATTTTGGCCGTTAGCGCCGATAGATTACGATTTTTTGTGTAAGTAGCCGAGTTGGTCGGCCATATATTAATGAAATTTCCTTTGTCCATTTTTGCCGTTTATTTAGAAACGTGACTATAAACCGACTTGTGTGCTTAGTCGATAGGAAGATTCGCGCTTTATCATCGATTGACGCTTGATGTCTTGGACAACGAACTAGGCTTGATAGTGTTTGGACATATCGGGCTCGGTTTTTAGTGATGAGTGGCGATGTGAAACATGCGAGAGTAGTCGGTTTTAGCGCTTCGCTATAAATTTGTTGTGCGTCCAACAATTGTAATCGGCGTTATCAAACGGAAGTGTCCGGTCTGGTAGCGTTGAAATATTTTAGCAATCGGCCGAGAGATGCTCGGTATCGACGATGTTATAGCGATTGGCCTGGGTACCTTCCTAGTCGAGTAGGGTACTCGGGAAGGAAACCTTCAGGGCTCGATTGCGTCGTTCTAGTGGTCGGACGAGAGTTACTCGGCATCGGCGGAAGTCATCGTGCTTGGCCTAGGTATCCTTAGCCGAGAAGGGTACTTGGGAGGGAGACCGGTAGGGCTCGATTACAT